AAGTGAATGAGATGTATGTCAAGTTTTGTGAAATATATGATGAAGGCACAAAAAAATTTATACCAGAACAGAGATGCAGAACTAGGAAACAGGATTGGTTCAACAGAAATTACAAGAGGGCCAGAGACCAAGACACAAAAATGGAATCAATATAGGAAGAGGCCAAACCCCCAAACATACCAGCGATACAAAGATGCGAGAAACAACTACATGGCAGTGAGGAGAGAGGCACAAAGAAATTTTGAAAAAGGGATTGCAGACAAATGTAAAACAGAACCAGGTCTATTCTATAACTTCATGAACAACAAATTGCAGGTAAAGGATAATATTCAGAGGTTGAAAATGGGAAATAGATTCACAGAAAATGAAAATGAAATGTGTGAAACATTAAACAAAAAGTTCCAAAGTGTGTTTGTACAAAATTAAATCTTCAGGGAACCAGACACAATAAGAATTCCAGAGAACAACATAGAGCACATAGAGGTGTTTAGAGACAAAGTGGAAAGAATGCTCAAGGAGCCAAGTAAGAACAAAGCAGTTGGTCCAGATGGAGTTTCACCATGGGTTCTGAGAGAATGTGCACCTGAGCTCAGCATTCCACTTCAACTGATTTTTCAGGCATCCCTGTTTACAGGAGTTGTAGCTGATATGTGGAAAAAGGTTAACATAGTTCCAATCTACAAAAGTGGCAGCAGGGAAGACCCCCTTAATTATAGACCTAAATCAATGACAAGTGTCATAGTCAAAACATTGGAAAAAAATTATTAAAACTAAATGGGTAGAACACCTAGAGAAAAACTATATAATATCAGACAGACAGTATGGTTTTCGATCTGGAAGATCCTGTGTTCAACAGAAAGAAACTTACTCAGTTTCTATTATCGAGCCACAGAGATTTTACAGGAAAGAGATGGTTGGAATGACTGCATCTATCTGGACCTAAAAAAGGCTTTCGACAGAGTTCCACATAAGAGGTTGTTCTGGAAACTGGAACATATTGGAGGGGTGACAGGTAAGCTTCTAACATGATGAAAAATTTCCCGACAGAAAAATGAGGGCCATAATCAGAGGCAATGTATTGGATTGGAGGAATGTCACGAGTGGAGTACCACAGGGTTCAGTTCTTGCACCGGTGATGTTCATTGTCTACATAAACGATCTACCAGTTGGAATACAAAATTATATGAACATGTTTGCTGATGATGCTAAGATAATAGGGAAGATAAGAAACCTAGATGATTGTTATGCCCTTCAAGAAGACATGGACAAAATAAGTCTATGGAGCAACACTTGGCAAATGGAATTTAATGTGAATAAATGCCATGTTATGGAATGTGGAATTGGAATTGTTATGGAATCCGACAGTAAACGGATGACGCAATGCTGCGTCATGCCCGGACTAAAGTGTTAAGCAGCACATCAACAAACTGGAAAAGATGCAACGACATGCCACCAAGTTGCTCCCAGAACTGAAGGACAAGAGCTACGAGGAGAGGTTAGAGGCCTTAAATATGCAAAAACTAGAAGATAAAAGAAAAAAGAGGCGGTATGATCACTACATACGAAATAGTAACAGGAATCGATAAAACTGATAGGGAAGAATTCCTGAGACCTGGAACATAAAGAACATGAGGTCATAGATTTAAACTCACAAAACAAAGCTGCTGGAGGAATGTAAGATGAACAAGTTAGATGAGAAGGTGGAGGAGGCCGAAACCATCAGTAATTTCAAAGTGTCATATGACAAAGAGTGCTGGGGAGATGGGACACCACGAGCATAGATCTCATCCTGTAACTACACTTAGGTAATTATAACCTGCCAGGCACCAGTACCACTACATAAGCCACCAGGCACCAGTACCACTACATAACCCACCAGGCACCAGTACCACTACATAACCTGCCAGGCACCTGTTTGATGGGGTTCTGGGAGTTCTTATACTCCCCAAGCCCGACCCGAGGCCAGACTTGACTTGCGAGAGTTTGGTCCACTAGGCTATTACTTGCAGTGGCCCGAAGGCCCACATATCCACCACAGCCCGGTTGATCCAGCACTCCATGAAGAAAATTATCTAGTTTTCTTTTTAAGATGTCCACGGTTGTTCTGGCAATATTTCTTATGCTCGCTGGGAGGATGTTGAACAACCGTGGACCTCTGATGTTTATACAGTGTTCTCTGATTGTGCCTATGGCACCCCTGCTCTTCACTGGTTCTATTCTGCATTTTCTTCCATATCGTTTACTCCAGTATGTTGTTATTTTACTGTGTAGATTTGGGAGCTGGCCCTCCAGTATTTTCCATGTGTGTATTATTTGATATCTCTCGTCTCTCGTTTCTAGGGAGTACATATGGAGAGCTTTGAGATGATCCCAATACTTTATTGCATCTCTGTATGCTGTATATGTTCTCTGTATTCCCTCTATTTCAGTAATCTCTCCTGCTCTGAAGGGGAAAGTGAGTATTGAGCAGTACTCAATACAGGACAGCAGAAGTAATTTGAATAGTACAACCATTGTGATGGGATCCTTGGATTTGAAGGTTCTCGTAATCCATTCTATCATTTTTCTAGCTGATGCTATATTTGCTTGGTTATGCTCCCTAAATGTTAAGTCGTCAGACATCCTTATTCCCAAATCCTTTACATGCTGCTTTCCTACGATGGGCAGATTTGATTGTGTTTTGTACCCTGTATTTTATTTAAGGTCTTCATTTTTACCATATCCGGAATTTATCACTGTTAAACATATTATTTTCTGTTGCCCAGTCAAAAACTTTGAAATTTTTAACTGACTTCAGCAGTAATTTTAATGCTGATTTTTGTGTCATCTGCAACAGAAGATAATTTCCATGCTATATTTTTGTGTATATCCAACCCTGCCTCCAGATAGAGAGTATGTTTTAATTCGTATGTTCGTACGTTTTCCTGCCTGAAACGCTTTGTGTAATATGGCTATATGCATATGAAATAGCTCTTATCTATAAATCTATCCACTTTTGTAAAACCTCTTGTATGTATGTACGGTACCTGAATAAACATTTTATTTTTTTAATGTTTAATTAATACTACAAAACGTTTCCTGAATGTCATGCATAGTACATAAATACACTTATGAGTGCTGTTACATTTACCTCCTCATTTATTCTCCTCATTTTCTGTTAATACACTCAAAATTTTAGGTTGAAGTTTTCAAGTTCAATTCTATATACACAAGTTTTAAATATAAAGAATTTCTTTTCAGTTTTATTTAACAATAGAGATTTTATACAAAATTTGAAAATATCGTGAGTTATAAAATAACTTATTGAAAGACTTTAGTTTTGTTTTATTAGTTTTATAAAATTGTAATATCAATATAGCTATAGGTTAAGTACTAATTGTAATTAAGAAGCAATAAGTGCTATTTACATGCTTGACCCCCTACACTCCCAAGGTTAGGTTAGGTCGTGGTTTTCTATACAGCTTTTCAGGTAAACTCTAATATTCACAATATTTTGGTGCAATCCTGGCGATTAAGTGTATTTATTTATTATGCTGATAGTCAATGAATGTACATATTGCACTTACTATTGTTGTTACCCTCTACCTCCCCACTTTTGGTCTGCTATATCTGATATGAGAATAAGGAACAGCAGTGGTGCAATAACTGTACCCTGAGGTACAGAGCTTTTAACTGCGCTTGGACTATTTTATGATTGACTGTTACTCGTGTCCTGATTGACCGAAAACTGAGTATCCAGCATCCGACTTTACCAGTTATTCCCATCGGCCTCATTTTGTGTGCTATCATTCCATGGTCGCATTTATCGAATGCCTTTGCAAAGTTCGTGTATACCACATCTGCATTTTGGCTATCTTCTAATGCCTCAGTGACTGTGTCGTAGTGATCAAGTAGCTGTGAGGGGCACGATCTTCCCGCTCGAAATCCATGTTGGCCTGGGTTGTAAAGGTCATTGTTCTCCATGAAACTGGTGACCCAACTCCTAATCATTCTCTCAAATACTTTTATTAAGTGGGACATTAGTGCAACTGGTCTATAATTTTTTGCCAATGCTATGCTCCCTCCCTTGTGTAGAGGGGCTATGTCTGCTATTTTAAGTGCATCTGGTACCTCCCCCATGTCCAAGCTCTTCCTCCACACTATACTACTGAGTGCCTGTGCTACTGGCACCTTGCATTTCTTTATAAATATTGAATTCCATGAATCTAGACCTGGAGCCGAGTGCATGGGCATGTTTTCAATTTCTCTTTCAAAATCTAGTACTCTCGTATTGATATCAGTTATATTTACAGGGGTTTGGATATCACGCATAAAGAAATTGTCTGGATCATCCACTTTCATGTTGTTTATTGGAGTGTTAAACATCACCAGTACCAGTGGAGTGTTAAACATCACCAGTACCAGTGGAGTGTTAAACATCACCAGTACCAGTGGAGTGCTAAACATCACCAGTACCAGTGGAGTGCTAAACATCACCAGTACCAGTGGAGTGCTAAACATCACCAGTACCAGTGGAGTGCTAAACATCACCAGTACCAGTGGAGTGCTAAACATCACCAGTACCAGTGGAGTGCTAAACATCACCAGTACCAGTGGAGTGCTAAACATCACCAGTACCAGTGGAGTGCTAAACATCACCAGTACCAGTGGAGTGCTAAACATCACCAGTACCAGTGGAGTGCTAAACATCACCAGTACCAGTGGAGTGCTAAACATCACCAGTACCAGTGGAGTGCTAAACATCACCAGTACCAGTGGAGTGTTAAACATTACCAAGTGGCACCAGTACCACTAGATAACCCACCAGGCACCAGTACCACTAGATAACCCACCAAGCACCAGTACCACTAGATAACCCACCAGGCACCAGTACCACTAGATAACCCACCAGGCACCAGTACCACTAGATAACCCACCAGGCACCAGTACCACTAGATAACCCACCAGGCACCAGTACCACTACATGAATAATCTACAAAACAATATAGTACTGTACTTACTTAATTGTAAGGTTAGGGAATGCCGCAGGTCGGTCACTCTTCACGAATGCTGTAGAAAAAAGGGGAAAATGATTTATATATTACCAATTAGAAACAGCTTTAAAGATGCCACAAAGAATTTAAGGTTAGGTTCTCCATTATCATTCACATGTTTCATCATTTGTACTGTATATGCTAAGCTGATGATACAGGAACAATAATTTGCTTATGCAATACAGTAGTAAAACCTCGGTTTACGAATGCCCGATAACTAATGTTTCAGTATACGAAGTCGATTTCCTCAAGATTTGACACGGTATATTATGTTTACCTCGGATTATGAGTTATTTGTTGATAGTGTACCTGTATGGGTCGAGCACGTGAGTTGTGCTGGGCACAGGGCGAGGCACACTCGGTTTACAAATTTATCCCGCCTTGTGACAACCATGCTTGAATTCTTTGTAAAGAATTATCATTTATCTTCTTTTTTGGTTTCTGAACATAGAAGTTATTATATATCATGCCAGGGTCCCAAGAAAGTCAGTGGTAAGAAAATGTGTGCAGTATGGGAAGAACTGTAAAGATTTACGGAAGACTCGCCCAGATAAAGCTGTTGCAGGCCGTTGCATTAACCTTTTGAATGCCAATGTGATGACTCGCTACAGACAAGTGTTAAATCGTAGGGAAAACATGTCTTTAGACAGATTCTTAATAAGACCAGCAAGCAGTGAACTAAAACCAGGTCCTACTGGCATGCCTGCAAAACGTAGGAGAGAGAGAGTACTCCAGAAATGTCACTACTGCCCATGTTATAATGGAAGGCACCTCTTCCAAACACTAACACCTCTCCTCCATCCCCTCCCCCTCCTCACCATCTTTCATACGCCAACAAGAGTCCTCAATAGAGGTAAGGTATAGTAAGAAAATGAGTAGTATTCTGCATAAAATGTATTTTTAATTTAATATTTTTGGGTGTGTGGAACGGATTAATTAAATTTACATTATTTCTTATAGGAAAATTTGTTTTGGTTTACAAATTTTCGGTGCACGAACTGTCTCTTGGAACTGATTAAATTCATAAACCAAGGTACCACTGTATTAACCTGTTCTTAAAAACAGTAGTGTTGAATGTAATGAAATTCCTCTTTCCTCTAGAGCCCTGGTGGCTCCTTGAAGCCATCTTGTCGAGATGACTCCCTCATAATGAGCCACGTTAGCCATATGAATCCTGTATGGCATACTGGCGAACCAGAGCCATAACCTTACCCCTCAGAGGCACATGGAGCAGGGAAATTTTATAATCATGTTCTAGAAAATATCCAGAAATTAAGTGGAGCAATACAGACAGCTGCAAGGTTCACAGAAAACAAAGCTCTGAAACAGCTTTGCCGCTGTTACAAGTGAAAACTAGCCGCGCAGTGCTCCACGCCCCTACTAGTGCAAAAACTACCACAACCCGAAGGCAAACAAAAGTAGAAACTCTCCAAAACACTCGGAGGGTTCTATTGCCAAGCAGCAAAAAATCAACAGAGGTAGACCCAAAGTGACTAGTGGAAGGGGACCCCAAGCCCCAAGGGCAGTACTTACAGGGCACTCAGGGAAGGTGACCCCAAGCCCCAAGGGCAGTACTTACAGGGCACTCAGGGAAGGTGACCTTAACCTTTAGACCGTGCAATACATACATATATGAATTGACAAAAAATAATTTAAGTTAAGTTTTTAAAACTTGCACAAACACTTTCCTTTTTTTTTTTTTGCATAATCAACTAGGCAAATGCTCCAACTTTGTCTAAATGATCACAGCGTAACTTAAAAAACCAGAGAATTAAAATTAATTTTAAAATTGAATATTGAAAACATCAGATTTTCAATTCAGAATAAAAAATATGAACTATCATTAACCCTTAACATGCTCGGGGTTTAATATCCGGTCATCCCCACAGGCGCATGTCATTTTGAAAAAAAAAAAAAATTATTTTTTCTTTCTCACCTGTTAATTTGTGTTCACTGATCACGGGAAAAATAATAAAAAAATCGTAAGTGGCATATATTACCCGCTACAGGGCGGGAAAGTCTGGCAAATTATAGGCGCTGACTCAGCGTACGTCCCAGGCGGTCTGTTGCTCGCAAGCTGTCAGGCCAGAGTTGCCACAAAGAGATAATTACCGAATTATTTCAATGTCTCTGATTGATTTTTCATACTTTTTTTGCTGTAATATTATTCAATAGTGTGTAGTTTGATATATTTATATAATAAAATGAGTGAATCGTTGGTGTACTCAAAAATATGATGTACATATTGTTGATTCAATTATGTTCATCAGTGAACAAATACTTTGTCGGTTATTACACTATAAGCACAGGTTATATATAAGTATTTGCATGTTTTGTTCACTATAACGAACCACTAAGTAGCTATTATGAGTCAAAAAGTAATGAGGAATGACCGCCGTGTACCAGCCAGCCACTCACGCCCTCCCTCCAGTCATCTGACTCACCCTCATTCTCCTCCCACAATAATGTTTTTGCTATAATTCGCTATATACAGACGTTATATATAAGTATCTACATATTTTGTTCACCATAACTGTACATCTAAGCTTGTATGGTGAGTAAAGGCACAAAGATGTGGCTACTCACACAGTCAGCTGATCAGCGGCCGCCCTCAAGGTCAGACGCACTAATATTTCTCCTCCAACAATACTGCGTGGTGTTATTACGCTATATATCTTATATACAGACGTTATATATAAGTATCTTCATGTTTTGTTCACCATAACTGTACATCTAAGCTTGTATGGTGAGTAAAGGCACAGACGTAGGACCTCTCACAGTCAGCTGATGGCTGCCGCCCTCAAGGCCAGACGCACTAATATTTCTCCTCTAACAATACTGTGTTGTGTTATTACGCTATATACACACATTATATATAAATATCTACCTGTTTTATTCATCATACTTGTACAAATAAACTGGTAAGGCGCCCAAAGACCATCGTGGTAACCAGTAAACAACACCGTCGTCTGCACGGTGGCATCGTGCAGACGACGCCACCGCCCTCACCAAAATGGCGGCTCCAAACCTTCTCTTGCTGTTTATACCCTCTATACGCACGTTATATATAAGTATCTACATTTGTGTTCACCATAGCGAACCACTAAGCTGGTATGGTGAGTGCAGTCAATAAAAGGTGGCCACACACAGTCAAAAGACATCGCCACCACCCTCCCTCCCACAGCATTACACCTCCTTCCATGGCGCACAGCGCTAAATATCACCACAATCCTGCTATTATCAGAACCCTGGTCAGTTTTATCACAATCAGGGGTCTTCTGTAATAATATCATCGCTACATAATAGCATGAACAAGTATAATTTGGCATTTTTAGGCGATGCTGTGGTCACAAGCTGAACAGCAGTGCTGTTAGCTCATGCTGCGTGCATCAGGCTTGGTTGCTCACTCAATACCGAGGCCAATAACACCCGGGAGTTTGGCCCACGATTTTTTAAAAAAATGGCTTCTGTTTACAAGAGCCCTGATGAAGGTGTGGTGAACCCCGTGTATCCGCGGGCTGTTTAAATCTTGCGTAGTACTCCAACACATCATATGACGTGATGTGCAGTTGACTGGAACAACGTCCAGCACGTCATATGACGTGATGCGCACTTTAAGGGTTAATTGTTCATTTAATGTTGTTATTCTCTCAGAATAGCATATGATCTTCATTTTCATTAAATTAGAATATAGGTTTTTAGTACTGTATAGTTTACTGTAAAACAAATCGTCAATAGAAGATTTCAAATATGCGGATATTTAGACCAAAAAAATTATACAGTAACTCGAAATGTATAAAGTTTATGAAAAATCCATTCTGATGGGATTGTAGAACAGACAGCAGAGCACACAATATGTCAAAATAGTGAGAATGGGTTAATAACTGGAATATTAGAAGCCACTCAAAGTTGAAACTCTGGTTTCAGAGATAATTGAAATTTAAGTTATCAACAATGAATAAAAATAGTTTTAATTCATTAATTTAACTATGTTTTAATAAATATTGTTTGGCATTCGTACTCGAATATGTGAAAGTTGTAGGTCACTATGTGTTGAAATGAAGTCATGAAAAAATAACCCCCCAAAAAACACAAAATTATAATAAATATAATGATTTAGGGGGATATATTTAAGGTATCCTTTATATAAGTGAAAAAGCCCTAATATGGTCAAAACAACCTAAAGAGACAAAGAAAATAGAGATGGAAATCAGAGAAAATATCAGCCAAAAAAAAATTAAAAGTTCCAAATTTTGCTAGTTGTGACTGACTTATTTGTTGACCAATATCATTTTATCTTCACATAGTTAGGGAAACATATGCATTCTCCAGGATGTAAATGTTACAACAAAATCAGATAATAAACAAAGGAGAAAAAAAATAACTAAAATCTTAAAAAAAAAATTCCCCTAAAAATTTTTTTTGGGGGACATTGATGAAAGTAGCATATATATTAACATTGGACATTGTATTTATATGATATATACCAAAATAGATCATATTAACAGTTATTCATTGTTTTGTGTTATTATGTATTACTCGGCAATGATATAAAAGCACCAACTGCATAGCCACTTTGTGGACACTTCTTGCTACTATTCTTCTTCTTTGAGCATAGGACAGCTGCTTGCATTTCTTTATTACTGCATAATCCTTCATTTACAGTTATTAGGAGCTGCTGTTCTTATCAATAAAATGTTCTTATTTTTCAAAAATTCGTCTAAAATCAATTTCTGAAAATATTTTTATGAGAGTTTTACTACACTGAAGCCAATAAGTTGGAGATTAGTTTTACATTTTTAAGTTATTTTTACATAATTCAAACATTTTTCAATGTTATGCCCCCTAAATTCACGGTAATATGCATGGTCTAAGGGTTAACCCTTAAGCTGCTAAGGGGCCCTGAGGAGATACACCCGTGCGCAAGAAAAAAAATTCTAAAAAATTATTTCGTCTTCTAAAAATGTTAATGTGTGTTCCCTGAGCACGGGAACAAAAAAATCGTAGGCGACATTT